ACGTGGCGCTCCCAGGGCGTGGAAGCCGCCGCTCGGGGGGTAGCGTCTGAGCGGGCGCTCTCGCCGGCGCCGAGCGGCACTCCGCCCCGCCGGCCTTCGCGCTGGCAACCACGCTGCCCACTCTCGTCTTTCATTCGCTTCGGCCTTGCCTCGCAAGTGGTGGTGACAGTTTGAGCCCAGGGTTTTGCAGTCATGTGCGGCGGTCGTTATGTGCTTGCGCCGTCTTTCGCCTCCTCCCCCCTCCTCGTTCCTAAAAGGCATGGGCACGCTCTACAGCTTTCTCTCTCCATTGCGCTCACCTGCATACACCTGCCTTGGAGCTCTGAGCTGGTTGTTGCCGAGTCTACTTCCGAGAACGTCGTGGTCTCCCCAGCCTACCAGGACAGGTACATTGGTTTCCTGCGATGACTAGCAGCAGCATCACATGCAGTAGCACCAGTACAACCAGCATCACATCACCACTCGGAGTAGCAGCAGGGCATCCAGCAGTAAACGAGGGGACACCACGACGGCGGCCAGCAGCGCCGCGAGCGGCACCACCACAGTCGACGCTGCAGATTAACACCACCACACTCGACGCAACAAAGCATCTCACCCTACACGCAAGAAGTCGATACCAACACCTACACCGTCCGCGCCAAGCACTCGAAGATTACAGAAGTATCTGAGCAGCACGGCGGTACGGACAGCACGACGAGGAGAAACGCGCTTCGGGCCCCTGGACGACGAGACGTGGAGAAGCAGCACGACTCCGACGTCCACATTACAGGTCTGGCTCCGCCCCGTACCCTTTTTCTGACTTCGCCACCGGGCTCAACTCCGACCTCCCTCCCGACGGCGATACTGGGTTCAAGCTGTGGCGAAGCGTCCTGGCGTGCCTATAGGCCTACCAAACAATGTTCTAAGAACCTTTTGTGGTTTCCACGAACTGTTCTTAGAACATTTCTGGCTGTGACTGTCTTGTTTTAACACATCGGGTTTACGCTCTAAGAACATTGCTTTTGTTCTTGGAACGCTTTTGGGTTTTAAGAACATTTCGTGGTAGGCGAATGCCGGGACGGTCGGTCCCTGCTCAATTGATGGCCGACCCCGAGACCGACCCTCCGGCTCCGACCCCACGCCCCTGTTTCGAGCAGGTGCGGCTACTTGCCTGACCGTCGGTCGGCTGCCTCTTTGCGTATCTTGAGGTTGCTGAATTTGATATCGAAGACGCCTACGGCGAATAGTCGTCGCACCTGCCTTTGTGGGAAGCGCCTCTGCGGCCAAACGTTTGGCGAGGTCGTGGCGAAGCTATCGGACTATGTATTCCCCCAGCCGCCCTGGAAACTCTTCGGGAAACACTTGGGGGAGGGGGAGGGAGGGTGAGGGATGAGGAAGAGGAGGAGGAGGAGGAGGAGGAGGAGGAGGAGGAGGAATGAGGAGGAGGAGGAGGAGGAGGAGGAGGAGGATGAGGTGAAGGAGGAGGAGGAGGAGGAGGAGGAGGAGGAGGAGGAGGAGGAGGAGGAGGAGGAGGAGGAGGAGCAGGAGAGGAGGATGCCTCTTGGGAGCCTCTTGGGGTACGCATTCGGCCTACTGGGAGCTTCCTCGGGCTTTGGGGGCTTGTTAGGACGTTCCTGTTCCGTCTGACGCCGTCGGAAGCCGTCTTCTATGGGCCCGTCTTGGAGCGTCGCACGCCCGAAAAGGCGAGAACGCTAATATCATTGAACAGCCGCCAACAACGTACAGTTTTTTGGCCTCTTGGAGGTCCTCTTCGAATCCTCTTGCGGCGTTTGAGGGGCCTCTCGGGCCGTGTGGAGAACATCTTGAGACGCCTTGGGGCCTCCCTGGCCGTCCTAGAGGCGTCATGCGACCGTCTTGGAGGCCATTGAAGCCGTCTTGGAGGCCATCTTGGCCGTCTTCAACGCCATCTTGGGCCATCTCGGAGCCATCTGGACCGGAAACATGCTTGCATACCGGGTCTGGGTAGGTCCTGTAGGTGGCCGGCGGGTTGGGCTGATACCACACCGGGAGTTCTCTAGAACAGAATCAGACCTCGTCAGAAGTTCAGCACGCCGTGCACCCCTGTGATGAATCACGGGGGAGCGGCGGAGATCTAATGGCCTTCGGCCCATCCCGCCACCGTGCCTGGGTTGTGGGTCTGAGGCTTCGAGGATGTCCGTTGGGATCGCGTCGCGGCCTCTCGGGGGCTTCCTGGAGGCAGTTTTAAAGCTTCTGGGGGGCTGTTTTGGGGCCTTTTGGGGCCTCATTTGGACCTCTTGGATGCCTTGTGGGGGCCTCGGGGGAGTCCTTGGGAGCCTCTGCATCTTGGCGGCCTCTTTGGGCCTCCTGGTTGAGTCTTGGGGCGGAAGGCTCTTATTTTTGGTTCGTGTTCTTCCTCTAGGGCCCCTCTTGGGGCCGTCTTGGGGCCCTCTTGGGGCCGTCTTGGTCGCCTCTTGGGCCGTCCTGGGCGTCTCGCAGGCTTATTGGGCCGCCTTGGAGCCATCTCGGGCGTCTTGGACCGATCGTGCGCCGATTCGGCACCCTTGGACTGTTCGGGCGGCCTCTTAGGGCCCTCTAGGCCCGTCTTGGGGCCCTCTTGGCCCCGAACAATCGGGGGTGGACAGAACCCCCAACAGTGACACGTCGATTGGTGAATTGCCCGTTTTCGGTTCTCGAGAGGGCGCCGTGGCTGTTATTTTCCAGGCTTCCGCCCGCCAGGTTCGGGCCTCAGGTCGTTATCGCTGAGCCACGTTTTACTAAAGGGAGGTCCGTCCATCCCCGAAGCGAGTCATGCGGGCACGCTCCGGTGAGCTCCGAGGGCGCGCGCCAAGCCCCGGGAACATGGAGAGCTAGGGGTCCAGGCCCCTCGAATAATCTTCACCTCCTCCTCCTCCTCCTCCTCCTCGAGGACTGAGGCTTCAAGGGCGAAGCCAGCTCGTGCCTCAGGGCACGGTGGCGGATCTTGCCTGCCAGCTGTCCACCGCATCTGGCGGTGGCCCCCGCTGGGCAGGGCTGGCCGGCGGGGCACCCCGGGAGTGGAGCCTCCCATGTGCTGGCGCGCGTCGCCTCTCTCCCCCACCTCTCCCTGCTTCTCCCTCTCCCCCCCCCTCCTCCTTGTCCTCCTCCTCATCCTCCTTCGCGCCTCGAGCTCTAAGAGCGCGTTGGCAGCAAGTTCATCAGACTGCCGCCGCTCGAGGGGTGCGACTCATATAGTCAGCCGAGAGGCGGCAGCATGGACGCCGTGCGATGAGGCCGCTGGCCCACCCCGCCTCGGGCGCGTCGCCTGCGCGGGGTGCCGAGACCAGGGGCACCCACTCACGGGCGTGAGCACGCGGGTTCGCAAAGGTCCTTTCGTTCTCTGCCTCCCAAAGCGCCCCCCCCTCTCCTCCCGACCTCCCCCATCATCCCCCATCCTCGCCCCGGTTTGGCCTGAGGCGCGCACCGAGAGTCATAGCATCTCCTAATCTATCGCCCCTATCCCCCTCTCCCGCTTCGATCGATCCTCGACCTCGTTGATCATCGGCTGGTCGCCTTGCGCGGTGGCCATGGGCCATATCGCTGGTTGCGCTCCCCAGCAGCGCACGTGACGTGGATACCCAAATGCACACCGAAGCCACCCTCCACCGGGGAGGATCCTGGAGGATCGACATTTATTCGTTGTTTTGTGCTATGGCCCCTTCCTGGTCTCGGGCAATCTCTGGGGACCTCTGGGGACCTCGTCTGGAGACCTTCGGAGACCTACAAAGGGATCGGGCAGTCGACATGACCCTCGTGGAGTAGAGATCTGAACGGCCAGATGCTTCTCGAGACCGCGACTACAGGTTTGTTTCACACACTGGTCCTCTTCCCTCCTCGTTCTGTTCCTCATCTTCTTGTCCTGTGCGTACTCATTGTCGCCCTTGCCTTTATCGCCCGCGTGTTTTTTCTTCTTTGTGTATCATGCCCTCGCTGATGCGGTGTGCGCTGTCCGAGCGTCTCGGATGCATGCTGGAGGTGGTGTTTCGCTGCCAGAACGGTGGCTTTCGAAGAGACCATCGGGGCAGCTCGCACGCATGGCAGGGCGGTTGGCAGTGCGCAGCCCTAGCTGTTCGGCAAAAGGAGGGAGCGCCCCCTTCTAGCTCCTTGCCCCCCTCCTTCGAATCCCGTGCTGCATCCTTCTCCTTCCCCCTCCCATCCGTCCTCTCTTCCCCTGTTGCAGGGGCTGCAACAATCACGCGGCAGTAAAGGAAGATATGCCCCCAAGGGGGTACGTTCGAAAACGAAGAGGGGTTTGGGATAGACGTGCGGAATGGCACGCGAGCAGGTAAGAGCGAACAGTCTTGTTGTTGCTGCTGCTGCGGCTGCTGTCGGTGAGCTCTCCTTTCGAACGGATGATTTGTGTTGATCCCCCCTCTCCGGTGACCATTGCACCTGTCAGCTGAAGCATTTCTCCTGGGGCCTGCACCCTGCCCTCTACAAGGGGAAGGGCAGTGTCCCCGAGCGGTTCCCCTGGCCCCCGCTGTACAGCAGCAGCTTGGAGGACATCGATCAAAGACCGGGAGGTCCCCGCTCAGGGTCCGCCCGCCCGGGGCCCGAGGGCTGGCCTCCTCCTCCTCCTCCTCCTCCTCCTCCTCCTCCTCCTCCTCCTCCTCCTCCTCCTCCTCCTCCTCCCCCTCCTCCTCCTCTTGGAGCTCTCGGGGGCCATCCTGGAGCCAGCTCGATGCCTCACGAGCGAGTCGACAGCGAAGCGGAAAGCAGGCCGGCATCGGTGGCCCGGGGGTCGTGGGCGCATCTGGCCCTTCGGGGGCGTCACTGGAAGGCACCGTGGCCATTTTGGGCCGTGTGGGGGCGGTGTGTGGGTTTCTGGGAGCATGTTGGAAGCTACCTCGAGCGATCTTGCACTGTACTGTTCCATCTTGGAGGCCATCTTGGGTCTTTTTATTGGACCATTTTGGAGCGATCGTGGGCCATCTTGGACGCTGCACCGCCTCGTGAAAGCCTCCGTCTAGACCCAGGGGCAGGGGGTAGGGGGTAGTGGGGTAGGGGTAAGCCCTTCCCCGCAGGGGAATGGGTAGGGGGTAGGGGGTAGAGGGTACATAGGGGTAAGCCCCTCCCCGAAGGGGAAGAATGGGGTTTGGAAGAGGAACCGGTCTGGACCACCTCCGTCCCGAGGGCTGGTGGAATTTGGTCTGCACTACGGCTTCTTGTTCGCTGCATGTTGCTTTTGCTGTTATTGTTGTTGCTGTTGTTGGTGTTGTTGTTGTTGCTGTTGCTATTGCTGTTTTTGTTGTTATTGTTGTTGTTGCTGTTGTGTTTGTTATCGCCGTCGTCGTCGTCGTCGTCGTCGTCGTCGTCGTCGTCGTTGTTGTTGTTGTTGTTGTTGTTGTTGTTGTTGTTGTTGTTGTTGTTGTTGTTGTTGTTGTTGTTGTTGTTGTTGTCGTTGTCGTTGTCGTTGTCGTTGTCGTTGTCGCTGTCGTTGTCGTTGTCGTTGTTGTTGTTGTTGCTGTTGTTGTTGTTGTTGAACATTATTTATTCTAAAGAATAATTATTGTTGGGCCCCCTGGTGCGCGCCCCCCCTGCGCCGCCTAGGCCGCAGCTACATTTTCATCATTTTCGTGAGGAAGCCTCAGAAAAGAGGGTGTGTACAGGATCCGGTTGTTTTGTTGTAATCCGCTTTCCCTTGCAAAAAACAATAGAAAATGACATTTCTTGTTCTAATATAATCAAATTTCAAGAATCCCTTGCAAAAAATAAGGTAAAGTGGACATTCGCGCGCGCAAGACGAAATCCTTCCAAAACCTTAGTGTTCGCAGCGATTTTAACATAAAAACATCAAAAAGCCAATGGTTTGTCAACAAAAAATTGTCAAAATTTCATCCCGCGCGCTCTTGCGGATTCGTAGGAAACCCCACACTTTTTAAACATTTCTGTCAAACGGGCTTTTGCGAGCAACTTTTTCGAACTTCTGCAACAACGGTTGCGCACCTGCCAGGGCCATCATCCCTGTCAAATAATACCATGCGGGACACATTCGTTTTTTCTTCGCGCGCGCACGCCGTCGTCGTCGGCCGCGGGGCCCTGAATAGTAGCCACGGTCGTCCGCATGCCACGAAGTGAAGTGTCCGAACGTCATAGGGCGGGAAGCTGGGTGTGGGTGGTGGCGAAGAGTCGTTTGGAAATTTGGTAGAGCTTGAACCGGCCCCCCACAAAGTGGGGGCATTGCCCGCCTCCTATGAAAACCCTGGCACTGGTGAGAACGGAGTGTCCCCACGTGCTAGTAATTGTTGTTGTTGTTGTTGTTGTTGTTGTTGTTGTTGTTGTTGTTGTTGTTGTTGTTGTTGTTGTTGTTATTGTTGTTGTTGTCATTGGTTTACGTTGTAGTTTCTGTTGCCCTCCTCAGCTTCATTTCAGCTCGAGCTTCGGATGTTGTCCTCTGTGTATGAGTCGGCCAAGACTTGTTTGGGGACGCTCGGGAGGGTGTCGTGCCCCCAGGGCGCCATCCACAGCAGTAAAACACGATGCAGCCCCAGAACATCTCGCGGGAGAACCACGGGACGCCGACGGGACAGCCTACTCTGGGTTTCTTAAGACGCGTGGGGGGTACCCCCGCGACGGGGGGCAACCTCGCCTCGTCGTCGCGCCGCGACGTGGGTCGGAGCGCCTTCGGCGCGCGGTGGCTGCCCGCGACGGGGGTCGATGTGGGGCTGTCGGCAGGGGTGACGCCCCCCCGACGCTTATCAAGAAACTCAGGGTACGGAACACCCGACGGGAAAACTCCAGGACAACCGCGGGACCACGCGCCGGACAACCCGCGATGCACCGCGAGGCCCTCGGGTATATTTGCCGCCCGGCTTGGCCTGGCCTCGGCCGACACATCGTCGACCCCGTACACTTTCGCCTCGCACGCACGCGCGCGCGACACGTCCAGACGCTGGAACTGGCTTCCCGGTGTGGGTCCATCTGCTCGCACCCCCAAACCTCCGAGGCTTTTCGAAGGACACGCCAGCAGACAAGAGCGACAGGTGCCATGGTCAGCTCGCTCCTCATCCCCGTGCCGATCCTTCTCACCCTCGTCCCCCCCCTCCTCCTCCTCCTCCTCCTCCTCTCCTCCCTCCTCCTCCTCCTCCTCTCCTACTCATCCTTCCACCCTCCTACGCTGTCCTCCTCCGCCTCCTCTCCACTTCCGCCTCGCCTCCTCCTCCTCCTCCTCCTCCTCCTCCCCTTCTACTTCCCTTCCTTGCTTCTCCCTTTCTCCCTCCCTCCTCTTGCTCCTCCTCCTCCTGGTCCTTCTCCCCCCATCCTTCTCCCACCCTCGTCGTCTTCTCGTTTGTCCCCAGGCCCTGACGAAGGACACGAGGGCCAAGCCCGGCGAGAGGATGGACGAGTGAGGGCGCCTGAGGGGCAGTGGCCATCGGGCTCCCGCGCGACGCCAGGGTGGAGGACGCCTCTGTACCATCTCGGGAGGGGGCTTCGGAAGGGGGGGCGGGCCCAGAGGGACACCTGCAGAGCGACCCCGCCCCCCTTCCTGCGTTGGGGCACTGGCGGCATCCCTGTAGGCCTCCTAGACGGGGTCGGAGTTGATGGGGTCGGAGGATCACGCCGCATTGCCGATGCATCGCCGATGCGGCGCGATGCGAAGCCCGATTTCTCTCACGTCGATGGCACCAGCGCGTCGCCCGTGCATCGCCGATGCATCGCCGATGCATCGCCGATGCATCGCCGATGTATCGCCGATGCGGCGCGATCCCCCGATCCCATCTACACATTGTTGATTTCTAAGTCTTCGAAAGTTGTTTGTTTTTTTTGAGGGGCCAAGATCCTTTCATTTCTAAGTGTTCTATCCTGGGCCTCCTCCTGGCCACTTGGGGGCCAGGAACAGTTTGAAACGAGCACAATTAGAAATGAGCACGACTGGAAATGAATGACGTCTGCTCCGACCCCATCCAGGAGGCCTCTAAATCCCCCACTGAGGCGCCGCGCTGCGTGTGCATGGTCGGGGCGCCCGGGGGGAGCACCTGCGCGGCGCGCCTGGCCCTGGGGGGGGCCGCTGGCGCCCCCCCCCCAGAGGGAAGGGGGGGGGGGGCACGCGCGGGGCTCGTGTGGGGAGGGGCGAGGAGGATGAGAATAAGGAGGACAAGGAGGAGGAGGAGGAGGAGGAGGAGGAGGAGGACGGGGAGGAGGAGGAGGAGGAGGAGGAGGAGGAGGAGGAGGAGAAGGAGGAGGAGGAGAGAAGGAGGGAGGAGGAGGAGGAAAGGAGGAGTGGGAGGAGGAGGAGGAGGAGGGGGGCGGAGGAGGAGGAGCGAGGAGGAGGAGGAGTAGGAAGGGGCCATGAGGAGGAGGAGGAGGAGGAGGAGGAGGAGGAGGAGGAGGAGGAGGAGGAGGAGGAGGAGGAGGGGCAGGAGGAGGAGGAGGAAGAGGAGGAGGAGGAGGAGGAGGAGCGGGTTAGGGATTGGACCGCTGACGCAAGGCACCCCTGCGCCGTCTGGCTCGGGGCATCCTCGGCAGGGCTCCCTTCTGCCTCCTCGGCCCGAGGGTGCCCCCTCTGCGAGCGCGCGCGCGTCCTCGGCGCTCCAGGGGCCTTGGCTTCCTTGACCTCCATCCCTGCGGCGCGTCTTGACTGTGCGGAGGAGGGCGAGGAGGAGGAGGAGGAGGAGGAGGAGGAGGAGGAGGAGGAGGAGGGGGAGGAGGAGGAGGAGGAGGAGGAGGAGGAGGAGGAGGAGGAGGAGGAGGAGGCGGGAGGAGGAGGAGGAGGAGGCAGCCGCGTGCAGCAGTCCTCCTCCACGGTGCAAAAGGGGCACCTTCTTCGAAGCACGCTGGGGCCCCCCGCAGGGGGCGCGAGGGCGGGTCGCGCCTGGCGCTCTTCGCTCGCGATGCCGTGGGCGGGGCGGGGCGGGGGGCGGTCGGCGCAGGGGCGCCAAGAAGTGCTCCGCGCGCGTCGCCCGTGCGCCGCGCGCGAGGAGCGGGGTCCGAGGCGGGGATTCATCATCCATGACCACCGCTTGGGGGATCGATTTTCGCGGTCCTCCACATGCGGTGGATATGGACATCTTCGGCACCCCAGGGGCCAGAATAGATCCATATCCACCGCCCTCTAGGGCACCAGGGCGTCGGTTCCTAG